ACTCTTTATAATTTCTATTATCTAGTCCAGTTAAAGTCCAGGGGAGGAAGCCCCATCATAGTAAAGAGGATACTAATGTGATGTGTGTAGTTCTTCATAGCCTCTTCATTTTGCTCTCAAAGTGCACGGAATTGATGGATTTTTAACAGAATGTAGAAAAAAATTCTCCCGGGGGGGCATGCCCCCGGACCCCCCTAAAGGGGCTGTGTTCCCCTTGGGGCTAAGCCCCCCTTGTTCTTGAAACCTAGTGACGCCCCTGTCCGGCACGTTCACGCCGCCGCGACTTTCCGTATACAGACGCCGGCTGTCAAGTGGGCGGAGTTTACAAGTTTTACGAATCTGACAGCAGGTCGCGTTGAGCGCATTTTGACTCAAGACAGATTACACGCTACCCCACACTTCGCTTCAGTTTATCATCACATACAACGCACCAATATCACAATTAGATACTCTACATCGGGGATGGGCAACTTCAATGCTGGAGGAGGCCACAATGTTCAATCAGTGCAAACGGGGTCCACATGGGACCACCAACTTCCTAACCAGATGTACGGCGAATAGGCCATTTTCAATATGGACAAAATAGGCGCGCACACTTGAAAAATACGGGCTTTTTTCAGTGCACGTATAAAAGAATTCACTATCCTAACCCAGCAAAGAACAAAATAACCAAACTGTGATTTTTTTTCCCACATTGACAAGGGCTGTCTTCCATTAAAAAAATAGCATTCAATGAGGCACAAAACCGCTTACCAACATGAAGTGTAAGAACTCGTTATGTGCATTTTTTTTTCACAAAATCAACTGACTCAAAATTTTGAGATCAGTGGGGTACAATGTCTGTCCTCCATATCATCCCAAATTCGCAAAAAATAGACCTACTCATGTTATCGTTTTTTGAACAAATACTGCAAAAAATGGGCACATGCTTAGCTGTATGATGTCACACACAAATTGGCAAAGGCGTGAAGCTCCACAGATTTCCATGAATGCCAAGAGATGGAAAGTATGGGTCAAGAAAGTATGTTGCTCGGATGGTTGGAAACCGAATGACAACTCCTATCTTCGGGAAGTCACTTTAGTTTCCCTTACTCTCTCAGATGTAAGTAACAAACGGTGAATACAAATCATGAGACAAGGCATAGAAGTTAGTTGAGCTTCGACATATTTTGTTCGATTGTTCCTGAGGCATGACATAACCCCTCATGTGATGCTTTTTATGTTTGTCCACCTATCAAGTAGCAACTATTATTCCAGCCATTCCAGAAAGAGTGTGTTCTGATTCTAACAGGATCCATGTTTGTTTTGCTTGAAAGACTGGAGTGCGGGATGCACATTTCTTCAACATCGTTTTGAGAAAGACTGAAAATAATGGTCTCAGTGGATCAGGTATCTTTGTAACGTACAGCCTGGCACACCCAACTGTGTCGGTCCCTTCCGCACAGCAGCCCAAGTTTCAGATCAACGCGAGCCTGCAGTATCAACCATCCATTGGGGTTCTTGATCACAAACGGCTGTACAGCTCTGGGAAATAAACACAGCCAGATTTCACCGGGAATCATTTGAATCCCCTTTTGTGCACCCTGAAAATCTAACGTTTTCTTGCAACTGTATTTATTCATGTTTTTTTCTGACAGGAAATATCATTCGGAGTGTGTCCTACCAGGTGGAGGCCTCTTGACGACGAAAGAGCGGGGTTACGGCCGCTTCTAGCAAGGGCACAGCTCGTCAACAACTGCGGGAGACAAAATGGGACAAAAGTGAAGAGCTGAGAATCCCCGCGTTCAAACTGGAAAACAGAAGATGTATGGTGGGGAGACGGCCACAAAGTAGCCCACCAGAAATTCTCCCATCGCTAAAACTATAAACAATGTGTCGTGTACATATGTAGGGTACCATAGAAATAAGATGTTGAAAAGGGCATTCAATCCCAAGCTTTGAAATGTACTGTTATGACATTTTCGCTTCTGAACATTTTCTGTCCACACACAAAAACTACTACCTCACATTGGCAAAAAGAAACCATGAAATGTTGGCGTCAACAATCTTTCATCATTGCGACAAAGTCACTCTTTGAAATAAATCTCACAACAAACTTGTTTCAAAAATGAAAGCGTTAGCCTCAGGTGAGCTCTCAAGTAGAGAGGTGCGGGAATCTGCACACAAAAGGCTATAAAACAAGTCCATACAGTACTGGTGTGTTACAATGAAGAAGAACAGGTCCAGATGAGACCGATATGGTAGTAGTAAATGGCACCCGACCGAGGAAGATGATGGATGACAAGACTAGCAGGGTAAATGTGAAGAACAGCATCAGGTAGTCATCACGGCCCTCTTCCACTTTTACATGTGGTACAGCATCTGCTCGGGAAGAGAGCAGGATGAAATCACAGACTAAATGTTTTCCAAGGCCTGGGAAAAGTTACAAATTACTTGCAGAAATGTTGTTTCAAAACAATACAATACAGCTTTATTTATATTCTGCTTTCACAACAGCTGTAACAAAGCAGGAGATGTATAGACTCTCTCTCTCTCTCTCTCTCTCTCTCTCTCTCTCTCTCTCTCTCTCTAGTTTACAGCCATTGAGCAAATTTCAATTTATTTCAAAAAGCAAAGCAAGGTATAATGTAAATCTTAGAACCCTTATTTGAGGTATCATGTCATTTTCAGAACATTTATTGTGCAGATCTTGATGAAAATCTTGTCAGTCAGGCACAAGCCCCTGTACTTGCAGACTCACTTGCAAACTTCAAGTTAATCTACCGCGCGTCGACTCTTAATTTTCAGAACATCTTCAACAAAATCTTCGGAACTCACTTGCAAACTTCAAGTTAATCTACCGCGCATCGACTCTTAATTTCTAGAACATCTTCAACAAAATCTTCGGAAAAAAACAGAACGTGCCCGTTTAAAG